TTTTTTTTTTTTTTTTTTTTTAATTAAAGTAACCTACATACATGATTTAAAAAGACAAATAGCACGTGAAGGTAATCTTACCCATCTTTATCTATGATTTCAATTTCTGGTAGGCTGCCGTTTTCAACCCAGTTAGCTGGGTTTTTTTGCTATATATTTCCACATTTCTAAATAACATAGTTCTGTTACTATTTTTATTATCCATTGACTTCCTGCTAATTAGATTTAGCTACCATACTCCTCACCCACAATACATTTACTTTGTCTACTCTTTCTTTCCAATATGTATCAATTTTTGTTTAAATCAGTATTCAATGTTGATGGTCACGTAATGTGATACCTGACTTGTGTGATATAATAAATATGATTATGTTTTCTTTACATATAACTTCTTATTTTTCATGGAGACAGTAATTGCCTCATTTTTGGTGTGCCTTTGTGGGGCTAGAACTCATGAACCACAAGATCATGACCTGAGCTGAAGCTGATGCTTAACCAACTGAGCCACCCAGGCGCCCCTAGTCTCTGACTTTTATATAGTAGACTTTCTTAAACTATCTGGAAACCTTTGACTGTCTATAAAGAGTGCAGCATTAATGGAGAAAAAAAAAAGCCAATTGGAAGGTTATGGACGTAGATGGAACATGGCAAAAAGTAATTAAGGAGAAACATTGTTTTATTGTAGGACTTGAAACTGTCAGTTTCTGTAGTCTTTTCTCTTGGGCCAGAGAAAATGTTCCTAAAGAACAATCTAAGTTCCTGTCTGGGGTAGCATTTAAGCATAGCATCCAGGATTCTAAAACTTAGCAGGAGAAAACTACTTGACATCTCACTATAAAATTTATGGATTTTGACTCAATCTCCTTTCCAGAATGACTTCTCACTTCTACTTAAAATGGTGTTTGGTGTCATTGAGTCCAGAATCTCTTAATAAATGGCTTCAGAGCGTAACTTTGACTGGGGTCAGTGCAGGTCGTTTGCCAAAAAAAATTTGGAAATTGAAAGGATAAATTAATTCAGTTTGTTTTGATATTCAGAGTAAACTTTATTTGAATTTCTATTCATACAGCTCATCAGAACATTCGGTCATTAAACCACCTCTTGGAGATTCTTCAGGGAATCTATCAAGGTCAAGAGGGGAAGAGGTAATACTTTGGGGAAGGAGGTTTCATCATTATTTTTATATATACTTGCAAATTTTGCTAAGGAATTCTCAATTCATAGAAGTGTTTTTAGAAATAATCATTATTATTAATGCTGTTATTTGTCTCAAGGTAATTGAACATTCACTGGGCTAAGTGAAGAGGTTGCCTCAGAAAATACTTGCAAGTATTCATTTTAATGGTCCAGTAGCAATCTGGGCTCCTGAGTTGGGCCTGTGCACTATTCTCTGAACCTTGTGGTTAATTTCTTTAGATATTATTGGTTTTTCCTTTGGGCTTATCTTCAATGCAGCTATTTTTTTTTGCTTTGGAATCAGATATCCTTACCTAATTACTATATAACTTCATTCTATCTTATTTCTTAGTTCAAATTTTAACCCCATAAACACAGCCATTATTCCAGATGCTTATGGGCCAGATAACATAAATGAATAAAGTTGGCTATGGTTGTGATAAGCAGCACATAAGAATATTTTTCGCTTGCACAAAGAAATCTGCTTATCTAGTATTTCTAGTTCTTTTCATTTTCAAGAAATTGTAGGAATGTAGATTTTTATTTGAAATATATTTTAAAAATAGCAACAAGTTTTTTACAAATTTAAACACTGCAGATGAGCACATAGAGTTAATTGGTGGCTCTGCTACATCTATTCTAAAGCAACCCTTTGTAATTATTATTCGTGTGCTATAGGCCATTTAATCAGTTAGTCATTCTTCTCCCTTTTTCTCTTATCTACCAATGCTATTTGTTCGACGGTCACATTTCCTATATGTGGATCAATGGGAAATATAGCATTTCTAGTCAAATAAATTCACATGAGTAATTTAAAAAAATTTTTAAAAATGTGTATTCACTTTTGGGGCACCTGGGTAGCTCAGTTGGTTAAGGGGCCGACTTCGGCTCAGGTCATGATCTCGCGGTTCACGGTTTGCGGGTTCGAGCCCTGTGTTGGGCTCTGTGCTGACAGCTCCGAGCCTGGAGCCTACTCTGGATTCTGTGTCTCCCTCTCTCTGCACCTCTCCCACTTGCACTCTGTCTCTCTCTGTCTCTCAAAAATAAATGTCAAAAAAAAAAAACAACTTTAAATGTTTATTCACTTTTGAGAGAGAGAGGGAGGTAGAGAGAGAGAGAGAAAGAGAGAATATGAGCAGGGGAGGGGCAGAGAGAGAGGGAGACACAGAATCTGAAGCATGTTCTAGGCTCTGAGCTGTAAGCATATCTGAGTTAAAGTAAGATGCTTACGCGACTGAGCCACCCAGGCGCCCCTCAAATGAATAATTTAAGAAATGAATTCAGTTACATAAGGCAGACATAGTATGATCTATCAAGTTTTTCCCCTATTCCCCCATGAGGATGTATTACATGAAGACATAAAAGTTTGTGTAGGAAGAGGCACGATCTCTTCACTGACTGTGGGTCCTAGAGCTGTCAGGTTACAACCAGAGCGGAAGACATTTGCCTTTGTATGTGTACTTGACATCTGTACTTCCCAAAGACAGGATTTGGTGAGGTGTGTTGACCACACCTAGTCTAGAGGTCCCTGTTCCAGGTCCAGTCCATTGTAGTCAGGGTAGCAGGGTAGTTTCAAACTATACTAATAGCAGGAGTCACGAAAGCTTTTATATAGCCACCCAGGCTTCAACTTACCTTCCTCAATAGAGGACAGAGTTTGACAGTTTAAAATAAAAATGAGGTTCAAATTAAATGTTCTGATTAAAATCCTTTTCACAATTTTAAAAGAGTATTTTATAATTTCAATTTGAAATATTAAAGTATTCATTGCTAGAGATAGTGAAACTATCCCCCAACCCCCAAGTGGATTGAATAATAGTCTTTTATACTTCCTACTTTTAGAAGCACAAATGATATTCTGTTAACTTTGTGAGAATTATATATGTGGGCTATGTTTTTTCTTGATAGTTAAAGGTAACTATATGGCAGGTAACTAACTGCATAGTCTTATATTTTGTCATAGTAAGCAAAGAAAAACTTGAATGTCTATGTGCTCTCTGAATTTAGCAATGGGCAACAAAAAATAGGAAAATTTGGCTTAATTTGAATTTGCCATTTAAAAGAATATGTGATTGTAGGTAGTGATTTATGTGTGATTTATTTATATGTGATTTATTTATCACATAAAGTGATAAATAATGCAGTTCAGATGAATTTAAAATGGACTAAAGAGGAATTCTTTTAAATTCGCTTTTTTCATAGAATGACTTTCATATTTATTCTTTCCATAGGATGACAAATCAAAAAAACAATTTGTTTGTATTAACACCCTAGAAGACACACAAGCTGTTAGAGCAGTGGCTTTTCATCCAGGTGGTGGTTTATATGCTGTAGGTTCAAATTCAAAAACTCTGAGAGTATGTGCCTATCCAGAAGTAATCGATCCAAGGTAAGTAAGGATAGATGGTTTGTACTGTCAATCCTTAGTTTTTAATTTAGCTATATTAGTTCTTTTTTCAGAATTGCCATTCACTAGTGTTTAATTTTTATTTCTCTTTATTAAACATTAAAATTTTTATTTTCAATGCTTAGGAAATACACATCAGAATTGTCAATTAATTTTATAAGTTTTTGTCATAAAATGTTTTTATTGGGCCATGAATTCAATGTGCAACTGAAAAGAAAATCTTTTGATCTGATCTATTTTCTAGATCAATATTAAGTACCTTCTAGGTATTGGCAATTTATCAGTCTTCTTTTCTGTTTTTAATTACGAAACTTTTCAAGCACACACAAAATTAGATGTCAGTACAGTGCAGTGCAGTAATTGTTGAGATTTTTGTCATATTTGCTTTATCCTTTTTGTTAAAATAGTTTAAGGTAAATCCTGGATGTGTCATTTCACCCTTTAGGATGAATCTCCAGTTCTTACAGACTTGATGTTATCATCATACCTAATGAAATTTTTTTTTTTTTTAACATTTATTTATTTCTGAGACAGAGAGAGAGACAGAGCATGAACAGGGGAGGGGCAGAGAGAGAGGGAGACACAGAATCGGAAGCAGGCTCCAGGCTCTGAGCCATCAGCCCAGAGCCCGACGCGGGGCTCGAACTCACGGAGCGCGAGATCGTGACCTGGCTGAAGTCGGACGCTTAACCGACTGCGCCACCCAGGCGCCCCCCCTTACCTGCATTTTAAAACACAGACTAATAGTCAAAGAAAAACAAAAATCATATGACTTCACTCATATGAGACAAAATAGATGAACATAAGGGAAGAGAAACAAAAATAATATAAAAACAGGGAGGGGGACAAAACAGAAGAGACTCATAAATATGGAGAACAAACCGAGGGTTACTGGAGGGGTTGTGGGAAGGGGGATGGGCTAAATAGGTAAGGGGCACTAAGGACTCTACTCCTGAAATCATTGTTGCACTATATGCTAACTAATTTGGATGTAAATTTTAAAAAATAAAAAATAAAATAAATTAAAAAAAAAATAAAACACAGACTAACACTAGGATACTAAAAATTTCATTAGGTATGAGGGGCGCCTGGGTGGCGCAGTCGGTTAAGCGTCCGACTTCAGCCAGGTCACGATCTCGCGCTCCGTGAGTTCGAGCCCCGCGTCAGGCTCTGGGCTGATGGCTCAGAGCCTGGAGCCTGTTTCCGATTCTATGTTTCCCTCTCTCTCTGCCCCTCCCCTGTTCATGCTCTGTCTCTCTCTGTCTCAAAAATAAATAAAACGTTGAAAAAAAAAATTTAAAATGCAGGTAAGATCTATTACTCCACTAAACCAATGTTTGACTCCCATTAAAGGCCAAACTTATGAGCATGACATTCAGGACCTTCCATAACTGTGCCTGCAACTCCTCACCTACCATGTCCATCCCACTCAGTCTGCAGCTGGGCACTTGCCATACTATATTTTATCTTCACTGGAGTGATTCTGCTGTCATCTTTTTCTGTAAAAATTCTCCCTGTCCTTTAAGGCCTTGTACTTTTGTACTGGACCAGAACACTTACACTTGCCTTACTGTTTGTGGGTAGTCATGACAACATCGACCCTTGCAAGATTTTTTTTTTTTTTTTGAGAGAAAGCAGGAGAGAGAGTGTACATGCTCATGGGCTCATGGGGGAGGAGCAGAGGGAGAGGGAGAAAGAGAATCTCATGTAGGCTCCATGCCCAGAGCAGAGCAAGATTATGACCTGAGCCAAAATCAAGAGTCAGATGCTTAACCAACTGAGCCACCCAGGCACCCCAACCTTTGTAAGATTTTAAACTCTAGAAAGAACTCTCGCCTCCTTTCTTTTTGATTCATCCCTTGCATTCCCTCAGCCCCAGCCAATTGCTCATATTATATGTTTAATATAATATTAATATATGTTTTTTGAATTTGGAAGATTTAGTAGCTCTTTTTTTTCATTCCTCTGTGTTTCTGAGTTAAAATCTATGAAAAATATGTGAAATGGAGATTTTTTTAAATGTTTATTTTTGTGAGAGAGAGAGCGACAGGGCGTGAGTAGGGGAGGGGCATAGAGAAAGGGAGACAGAATACAAAGCAGGCTCCAGGCTCTAGGCTGTGAGCTGTCAGCACAGAGCTAGACGTGGGGCTCAAACTCGAACTGTGAGGTCATGACGTGAGTTGAAGTCGGACACTTAACTGAGCCACCCAGATGCCCCAAGTGAAATGAAGAATTTTGAAAAAATAATCTTGTTCCTTATGTGGTCTGAAATAGAGTTAGGTTAGTCTAATAATAGTTTATAATTTTACTTTTCAATTTTAAACATACTTTAAATTCAGAGTGCCTGGGTGGCTCAGTCGGTTGAGTGTCTGACTTCAGCTTAGGTCATGATCTCGCGGTTTGAGTTCGAGCCCCGCATCGGGCTCTGTGCTGACAGCTCAGAGCCTGGAGCCTGCTTCGGATTCTGTGTCTCCCTCTTTCTCTGTCCCTCTCATGTTCATGTTCTGTCTCTCTCTGCCTCTCAATAATAAATAAAACGTTAAAAAAAATAAATAAATAAATACACTTTAAATTCATTTCTTTTGCTTTGAGATTTTGAAGATTGTTATTGACATGTTGTCTGATACACTTTTTTGCTCCCTCCCTCAAGACAATCATAACGTAGAATTTCATTAACTTTGGCAAGCAAAAAATTGAAATGTCTTTCTGTAATGTTTCTGTTTAGTGCACATGACATCCCTAAGCAGCCAGTGGTACGTTTTAAAAGGAATAAACATCATAAAGGATCCATTTACTGTGTGGCCTGGAGTCCTTGTGGACAGTTATTAGCAACAGGATCAAATGACAAATATGTTAAAGTGCTGCCCTTCAATGCAGAGACTTGTAATGCAACAGGTAGGTCCCAAGTATGTAAGCAGTAGTGTTCTTAATGTTTCTTAATGTATTCTTAATGTTTTCCTTATGTTCTTTGATATATCTCTGTTTTATTTTCAATAAAATCTAAGAATATAGCCTTTAGAGTTTTCTTGTAATTGCTTAGTTGCATTCATAAGGCATTATTCTTTTTTAGTAAGTTCTTAATCAGTGTTGTCTAATTCTTAGAAAATTATTGTTATTCAGAAAGATAACTTTTGGGGTGCCTGGGTGGCTTAGTCGGTTAAGCTTCCAATTCTTGATTTTGACTTGTGTCATGATCTCATGGTTTGTGAGTTTGAGCCTCACATCAGGGTCTGTGCTGACAGTGAGGAAACTGGGATTCTCTGTCTCCCTCTTTCCCTGCCCCTCCCCCACAGACGCACGCTCACTTTCTCTCAAAAATAGACATTTAAAAAAAAAAAGGAAAGATAACTTTTAAATAACTACCAGCAGTGCATTAATGAATATGTTCCAGAGAGTACCTGTCTTCTCTTTCTTTTTCTTTGGCATAAAAGAGAGGATAAGTCTCTAGCTGTTTTAAGGATGATGATAACTGAATCAGTACTTTGATTTCTTGAAGTTTTTTGCTCTTTAAGTAAAATGAAATTGATAATAGTATTATCCCTACATGAAAATATAAGCCACTCCTCTCTACCATTATTCTTGCTTAGTTTTGAGACAGTTTAGCAATACCAAATTATCACAGTAAGTTGAGCAGCATCTTTTTTTTTAATTCTTATTGTTGTTTCAGGACCGGATCTGGAATTTAGTATGCATGATGGGACAATTAGAGACTTGGCATTTATGGAAGGCCCAGAAAGTGGTGGAGCTATTTTAATAAGTGCTGGAGCAGGGGATTGTAACATTTATACAACTGATTGTCAAAGAGGACAGGGCCTGCATGCTCTGAGTGGACATACCGGTATGTGATAGTTTCAGATGCTACTTTTCTTTTTGTTCAACCTGTGCTTTTTCCCTCTCTGCATTTTCATTAATGGGGTATATTTTATCAAAAGTGACTTCTTCAAGACAGGAAATTTTTATTTTAAAAGTTTTAATTGGGGACTTTAGATAACAACACAGTAACAATAGGTAACATTTCCCTGTGAGCTAAATCCCTTGCTTATACACATAATTTAATCCTTACAATAATCTTATATGGCAGGAAGTTGTATCTTCATCTTATATATGAAATAAACAAAATTTGAAAAGGCAAAATGACTTGACCAATATCTTACAGCTGAATATGGTAGAATTGAGATAAGACCTCAGGTCTGCCTCTTGCAAAGCCAGTGTTCTAACACCATGATCCTGTGCTTTGCCATAATTTGCCATAATTTCAAATGATAATATTTTTTTCAGTACTAATTATGGTATCCTGAAATGGTCAGTAACAAGATTGTTTAGTATGATTTTGATGTTGTGCAGTTTACTGAATTTTAGTGTTTTGAACATTGCCAGTATATTTGATATATATGGAAAGTCTCTACTACCCAGTGTATTTGATTAACCAGACCATCACATGTCTAATAATGAGTACCTAGCTTTGAATGTGTTTAAGAAAAGTACTGTTCACCATAATAACTGAGTATATGATCTTTTATAGGGCATATTTTAGCACTTTATACCTGGAGTGGCTGGATGATTGCATCTGGTTCCCAAGATAAGACTGTTAGGTTTTGGGATCTTCGAGTACCAAGCTGCGTTCGTGTTGTTGGCACAACATTCCATGGAACTGGTAGGTTTTTCAGGAATTTAAATGAATTTATATGACAAAGAAACTTTGTAAAATGCGCTTGTCTAGTTCCTCTCCCCTGCAACACATCTGTTAAAAAAAAATAGGAATAAATAGTAAAACAAATGATATTTTACAGATTACCTTAAATTTTCTCAAAATACTTTCATCTTACTTTCTTTGTAAAAATAACATTCAGCTTAGGAAACTGAGGCCCAGAGACATTAAGTGTCATGTGCCAATTATTCTGTCAGCAGGGCTCTTTTAGAACTCAGACCTTTTTTTTTTTTTTTTTTTTAACGTTTATTTGTTTTTGAGACAGAGAGATAGAGCATGAACAGGGGAGGGGCAGAGAGAGAGAGGGAGACACAGAATCTGAAACAGGCTCCAGGCTCTGAGCTGTCAGCACAGAGCCTGACGCGGGGCTTGAACTCACGGACCGTGAGATCATGACCTGAGCCGAAGTCAGACGCTTAACCGACCGAGCCACCCAGGCGCCCCAGAACTCAGACCTTTAAAAAACATGTTTTAAAATACGGCAGAAATTGAAATTGAACAAGATCATTTTCTTCTCACTCCCATTCCTTGGTATCTTTCCCTAAGGAACCAATTTCTTATTTATTCTTCTATAAATATTCTTTAAGTGTATAACCAAGAAATTTGTATATATCATAACCTCCTGTCTTCTTTAAACATATGTCTAAAGAATGCACACAGAAATGGTAGCATATAATACATGACTTACTTTTTGAACTTAACAGTATACCTTGGATCGTTCCATGTAAACCGAGGGTATTGCTCTTTGTGTTATGTCACCTTTTTTTTTTTTTTTTTTAACATTTATTTATTTTTGGGACAGAGAGAGACAGAGCATGAACGGGGGAGGGGCAGAGAGAGAGGGAGACACAGAATCGGAAGCAGGCTCCAGGCTCTGAGCCATCAGCCCAGAGCCTGACGCGGGGCTCGAACTCACGGACCGCGAGATCGTGACCTGGTTGAAGTCGGACGCTTAACCGACTGCGCCACCCAGGCGCCCCCTGTCACCTTTTTAATTTTTTTTAATGTTTATTTATTTTTGAGAGAGAGAGAGAAAGAGACAGGGTGTGAGCTGGGGAGGGGCAGAGGGAGAGGGAGACACAGAATCCAAAGCAGGCTCCAGACTCTGAGCTGTCAGCACAGAGCCTGACACAGGGCTTGAACCCATGAATGGTGACATCCTGATCTGGGCCGAGGTTGGATGCTTAACCAACTGAGCCACCCAGGCACCCCATGTTATATCACCTTTTAAGAGAAGCACAATATCCTGCAATTGTTTTTATTTTAGAGTCCCTTTTCTGCTTTGTAGTTTTTATGGCACTGTTCAAAATGAAAAGGACTACTTTTCATTCTTAATTTTTGGTGGTGTTTTTGTTTTGTTATTTTAGTGCTTTATCAATTCTCTTGGCTTTCGTGGAACTTTTTTTTCCCCAGGAATATTTTACTTACTGTTTTAATAAACCTTCATTTATGACTAGAGGTGGCATAAAATTACCAACCAGCTATCAATAAACAGCTCACTAGGGACTGGCATTGACGCAGCGAATATTGCTAGGTGTTTCACTTGAGGTTCACTCAGTGCTTTAGGTTTTTGGTTTTTGTTTTTTTAAGGTTTTATTTTAATTCCAGGTAGTTAACATGCAGTGTTACATTAGTTTCAGGTGTATATTATGGTGATTCAACTATACTGTACATCACCTGGTACTCATCAAAAAGGCATTCCTTAATATCTCCATCATCTATTTAACCCATCCTCCCAACCACCTCCCCTCTGGTAACCATCAGTTCTCCATAGTTAAGAGTGTGTTTCTTAGTTTGTCTCTTTTTGTCCCCCTATGTTCATCCGTTTTGTTTCTTAAATTCCACATATCAGTGAAATCTTACGGTGTCTTTCTCTGACTGACTTATTTCACTTAGCATTATAGCCTCTAGCTCCATCCATGTTATTGCAGATGTCAAATTTTCATTTTTTTTAATGTTTATTTTTGAGAGAGAGACAGAAAGACAGAACTTGAGCAGGGGAGGGACAGAGAGAGAGGGAGAAAGAATCTGAAGCAGGCTCCAGGCTCTGAGCTGTCAGCACAGAACCCGACGCAGGGCTCAAACCTACAAACTGCGATATCATGACCTGAGCTGAAGTTGGGTGCTTAACCGACTGAGCCGCCTTGGTGCCCCAAAATTTCATTGTTTTTTTTTGGCTGAGTATTATTTCATTGTGTATATATATACTGCATCTTCTTTATCCATTCATCAGTTGATGGACACTAGGGCTACTTCCATAATTTGGTTATTGTAAATAATGCTGCTGTAAACATAGGGGTGCATGTGTCCCTTTGTATTAGTATTTTTGTATTCTTTGAGTAAATACCCAGTAGTGCGATTGCTGGATCATAGGGTAGTTTTATGTCTAACTTTTTGAGGAACCTCCATACTGTTTTCCAGAGTGGCTATACCAGTTTGCATTCCCACTAACAGTACACAAGACTTCCTTTCTTCTTCACATCCTTACCAACACCTGTTGCTTCTTGTGTTTTTTTATTTTAGCCATTCTGACAGGTGTGAGTTGATATCTCATTGTAGTTTTGATTTATATTTTCCTGATGGTAAGTGATGATGAACACCTTTTTGTGTGTTTGTTGCCATCTGTAGGACTTATTTGGAGAAATGTGTATTCATATTTCTGCCCATTTTTAATTGGATTGTTTTTTTGGTATTGTGTGGTGTAAGTTCTTTATATATTGTGGTTACTAACCCTTTATCAGATATGTCATTTGCAGATATCTTCCTCCATTCTGTAGGTTGCCTTTTACTTTTGATGATTATGTCCTTCAGTATGCAGATGCTTTTTATTTTTGATGAAGTCCCAATAGTTTATTTTTGCTTTTGTTTCTTTTACCTTACTTAGTAGACATGTCTAGAAAAAAGTTGCTTTGGTCAGTGTCAAAGAAGTTATTGCCTGTGTTCTCTTCTAGGATTTTTTAAAAAAATGTTTGTTTATTTTTGAGAGACAGCATGAACAGGGGAGGGGCAGAGAGAGTGGAAGACAGATGATTTGAAGCAAGCTCTGTGCTGAGAGTGGAGGGAGAGCCAGATGTGGGGCTCGAACTCATGAACTGTGAGATCATGACCTGAGCCGAAGTTGGACACTTAATCGACTGAGCCACCCAGGCGGCCCTCTCTTCTATGATTTTTATGGTTTCAGGTCTCACATTTCAGGCTTTAATGCATTTTGAATTGCTTTTTGTATATGGTGTAAGAAACTGGTCCAGATTCTTTCTTTTGTGTTTTGCTATTTAGTTTTCCCAACACCATTTGTTGAAAAGACTGTCTTTTTCCCATTGGATATTCTTTCCTGCTTTGTTGAAGATTAATTGACCATATAGTTGTGAATTCATTTCTGGGTTTTCTGTTCTGTTCTGTAGATTTTTGTGCCAGTACTGTAGTTTTGATTACCAATGCTTGGTAATAAAACCTGAAATCTGGAATTGTGTTGCCTCCAGTTTTGCTTTTCTTTTCCAAGATTGCTTTGGCTATTCAGGGTCTTTTGTGGTTCCATACAAATTTTGGAATTGTTTATTTTAGTTCTGTGAAAAATGCTGTTGGTATTTTGATAGGGATTGCATTAAATGTGTATATTGCTTTGAGTAGTATAGACATTTTTACCAATATTTATTCTTCCAGTCCATGAGCATGGAATATCTTTCCATTTCTTTGTGTCATCTTCAATTTCTTTCATCAGTGTTCCACAGTTTTCAGAGTACAGGTCTTTTACCTCTTTGTTAGGTTTATTCCTAGGTATCTTATTATTTTGGGTGCATTTGTTAAGATTGTTTTTTTTAAACTTCTCTTTCTGTTGCTTTATTATTTGTGTACAGAAATGCAACAGATTTCTGTACATTGATTTTTGTATCCTGTGAGTTTACTAAATTTGTTTGTTAGGTTCTAGCAGGATTTTGGTGGAGTCTTTCAGATTTTTTTATATATAGTATCATGTTATCTGCAAGTAGTGAAAGTTTTACTTCTTCTTTACCAGTTTGGATGCCTTTTATTTCTCTTTTGCTGTTTGATTGCTGTGGGTCGGACTTCCAGCATTATGTTGAATAAAAATGGTAAGAGTAGACACCCTTGTCTTGTTCCTGACCATAGGGTAAAAGATCTCAGTTTTTTCCCATTAAGGATGATGCTATCTATAGATTTAAAAAAAAAAATTTTTTTTAGCGTTTATTCATTTTTGAGAGACAGAGACAACATGAGCAGGGGAGGGGCAGGAAGAGAGGGAGACACAGAATCCAAAGCAGGCTCCAGGCTCTGAGCTGTCAGCACAGAGCCCAATGCGGGGCTCGAACCCACAAACCATGAGATCATGACCTGAACTGAAATTGGACACTTAGCCAACTGAGCCACCCAGGTGCCCCAATTACTAATTTAGTATCTTTGCTGGTTATCAGTCTGTTTAAATTTTCTATTTCTTCCTATTTCAGTTTTGACAATTTATATGTTTCTAGGAATTTATCCACTTCTTCCAGGTTGCCAATTTTTTGGTATATAATTTTTCATAATATTCTCTTATAATTACTTGTATTTCTGTGGTGTTGGTTATTATGTCTCCTCTCTCATTTGTGATTTTATTTATTTAGGTCCTTTGTCTTTTTTTTCTTCATAATTCTGGCTAGACGTTTATCAATTTTATTGATTTTTTTTCCCCCAAAGAACCAGTTCCTAGTTTCATTGATTTGTTCTATTGTTTTTTTAGTTTTTACATGGACCTTTTTCTATACTTTGATTCCAACCAGATATGATTTGTTCTAGCAAGCTTGATTCTGGAATACATACACATGTGTATTTTTATATATGAATATGTGATCATTGATTTGTTAAACTTTAGTTTGCACTGTCACCAAAGTTAATGTGTAACATGGTTTAAAGAACCAAACAGTTCAATAAGGTTTGAATAAGAAAAATATCAGTACCCTGAGAATTGTCCCCTGTCCTTCAGCCATTGCCTCGTTTCCCATTTCTCCAAGGAAACCTTTTCTTTCATGTTTATTTATTTTTGAAAGATAGAGAGTGCGCACGTGTGCATGTGTCACATGCACAAGTGGGGGAGAGGCAGAGGGAGAGAGAATCCCATGCAGTCTCTGCACTGTCAACGCAGAGCCCGACACAGGGCTCCATCTCATGAACCTCATGAGATCATGACCTGAGCCAAAATCAAAAGTCGGATGCTTATCTGAGTGAGCCACCTAGGATTCCCTCCAAGGCAACCATTTTAAACTTTTGTAGTAGTTGTATTTTCATAGTTTCCATATTTCTAAATAACATACGCATAATCATAGATTTGTAGGATTGTTTATTCCCTTAACACCATAAAAGATGAAGGTTTAACTTTTCTTTTTTTTAAATTTTTTTTTTCAACGTTTTTTATTTATTTTTGGGACAGAGAGAGACAGAGCATGAACGGGGGAGGGGCAGAGAGAGAGGGAGACACAGAATCGGAAACAGGCTCCAGGCTCCGAGCCATCAGCCCAGGGCCTGACGTGGGGCTCGAACTCACGGACCGCGAGATCGTGACCTGGCTGAAGTCGGACGCTTAACCGACTGCGCCACCCAGGCGCCCCAAACTTTTCATGTCCCTTTCTGATTCCTGTTGTTCCTCATCCACTCACATACTTTCTGTCTCCTATCTTTTCAATATAGCTGTACCATTTTTGGTTAGATCAGTATTCATTCTTTACATTGTTTTAACCACTCTGAGCACTTACTGTGCTATCCATATCTTTTTTTTTCCTTTTCTTTCATATCTTTTGTTTTTCTTGGTGTTAATAATTGTATTTTTTGGTTTTCTTTGCTTAGTTTCTATACATTTATCTCACTGACTTATCTCCAAATTTCCCCTAGTTGTCTAAATTATTTCACCCCCTTTTCTCTCCTTTTCAGAGACTTCAACATTTTGGTCATCTCCTCTCTCTTGCAACATTATCTCCTCTACTGGATCTGCCCTTCTTTCTTGTCTACCATAGACCTACAAAAATGTTATAGAATTGGCAATGCCCCAAAGTTCCTCTGTTGACCTCCTTATCCCCCTCCCAATTTTTTGCTCTTTCTACCCAGATGTCTCAGAAGTCTTGCTTACATATATTGTTTCCATTACCTCACCCTTAGTCTTCCACCTATTCCAGTCTGTCTCTTGCTTCCTCCACTCCAGCAAGAGCTACATTTTTCAAGGTCACCAACAATTTCATTTTGTCAAGTCACCTTTTTTTTTTTAAGTTTATTTTTGAGAGAGAGAAAGAGAGAGAGAATGAACCAGCGGGGGAGCAGTAGAGAGAGAGGGAGACAAAGGATCCAAAGCAGGCTCTGTGCTGAGAGCAGAGAGCCCAGTATGGAGCTCGAACTCAAGAGCCATGAGATCGTGACCTGAGCCACAGTCTGACGCTTAACCGACTGACCCACCCAGATACCCCTGTCGCATCACCTTTAAATCCTTATTTTACTTCAGTTCTCGGTGACTTGCAGCAGTTAACCTCTTTCTCTTTTCTTTTGGGCTTTTTATTCTCCTTTTACATTTCTGTATAACTGTTCCTTTGTGATTCTTTCTTATCTGCTTAGTCTCTAAATTTGACATTCCCTAGGACTAGGACTTTTGTCTCCTTCCTTTCTCTACTTGACTACATCTGTTCCTCCAGCTTTAAGTGTAACTCATATGTTGACAGACCTAAAATTTTTGTCTCTAGCCCAAACTTTTTCTGCATGGCTGGCTCATATTTCTAACCTTCTTTTGGATATCTTCTAGGATATGTCAAACTTAACGTGTCTTAAACCAAACTATTGAATCAATGACCTCTCTCCTTAAACAAAACTGCCCCACACCTCCTCACCTAAGTGGTACTACCACCCATTGTCCATGCCAGAAGGAGTCTCCCCAGATCCTTCTTTCTCTCCTTCCCTCCAGTAATCAATCCATAAACAAATTGTTGTTTTAGCCTCCAAAATTTATCTTAAATCCATCTACTGCTTTCCATTTTTATTGGCACCACTCTAAGATAAACCACCACCATCTCTCAACTTAACCACTGCAAGAGCTTCCTTAGTCTGCACTTACACTTTTGCCACCTCCAGTCCACGGTCCACACAACAGCCAGAGCACATCAGACTCTGCTTACAGCACTTCAGTGCTTTGTGATTGCTCCTAGGTTAATGTGCAGACTCTTTACCATGCCCCCAAGACCCTGCTTGATCTGGCATTGTGTATTCCTCTAGTCTTAGATCACTTGTTTTTCCTTTCATTTCCTGGAATGTACCAAACTTCCCACCTCTAGTGAGTTCACATGCTGTTTCCTTGACCTGAAATGTTCTTCCATTTGTCTTCTCTTGGTTAGGTCCTTCGAATCTTTATGTCTTAGCTTCAGTAGCACCTTGCCAGAGAGGCCTTCTTTGCACTAATTGGGACCTCACTATTATTTTCTATCACTGAACTCCATTTGTTGACTTCATAGCTCTTATCACTATTTAAAATTATATATTTGTGGGGCGCTAGGGTTGCTCAGTCGGTTAAGTGTCCGACTTCAGCTCAACTCATAACCTCGTGGTCCGTGAGTTTAAGCCCTGTGTCGGGCTCTGTGTTGACAGCCCAGAGCCTGGAGCCTAACAGACTTTCCTGGATTTCTGTTGGCATCATCAACTTTGCATGTATAAAACTAAAGTCATTATATTTCCCCTGCACATCAATTCTTCTCATTTTTTCCCTTTTTTTGGATAACAGTTCTCTTATTTCCTCATGCAACTAGATTTGAAATCTAGGACTCATTTTTTTTTCTCCTTTTTTTGCCCCATTGAAGACAAGACTGTTGATTCTTCATTAAATTTTTTTTGGTAAAATGTGTCTGTCTTCATTTAGGCTCTTATTCTCTTGTTATTCTATTAGTTGTCTTGTCTTCTAGAGGTTACCCTTTTAGACTTCAAAGTCTATTTGAATTTGAAACACATTTTCACATAGATTAATCTTTTCAAAGTACTGGTTAGACTATATAATTCTCTTGCTGGGAAATTTGCAGTTATGTTTCACTGTGTATAAGAACAAGTTCAAACTCTGCAGTTTGACACTGCAGATGCCTAAAAGTCTGGCCCTAACCTGCCTTTTTTTTTTTTTTTCATGTTTGTTTATTTTGAGAGAGAGAGACATAGCATAGAGCACAGCAGGAGAGGGGCACAGAGATAGGGAGAGAGAAAATCCCAAGCAGGCTCCACACTGTTAGTGCAGATCCAGATGTGGGGCTTGATCTCATGAATCGTGAGATTATGACCTGAGCTGAAATCAAGAGCCGGACACTTAACGGAGCCATGCAGGCACCCCTTGACCCTAATCTGCCTTTTATGGCTCAGCTACAAACTACCTTTTATGTTAACTTGTTGAACCAAGTGACTCCAGCAAACTAAGCCACCTGTCCTTAAACATTTTTATACTTTTCCTCTAAATGTTATTTCATGTAATTCTGTTTCATGTAATAGCCCTCATCTTTTCTCTATCAAAATCTTAGGCAAAGTTTATTTTTACATATGTGTATAATAAATACAGTTTCTCTCTTATTTATACTATTTACTGTTCTTTAAAGTCTAACTTATGTCCCTTTTTTCTGTGAAGTATTCCCAAGCCACGTCAGCCTAGAGCAGTGTTCTTCAACCTTATTTTCATTATTGCCCCCTGCGAGGAGAAAAACTAAATTAAATTTTTTCCTAACAAGAGAAATTAAATACTAAGGAGTAAGATTTTGTTGGGTGGGGTTAAGCTTTGGGGGGTGGGGGTGCTAACAAACTTTTTTTAATGTTTAAGAGTTTTCCTATCCCCTGGAAACCACTTTGCACTCCCTTGGGGGCATTATTACCCCCATTGAAAATGCCTAATCTGGATTTAGGGATGCAACCTGTGAACTCAGCACTTATTTTCATCCAGTTCCTGCTGGCAGTTATTCTTATGTTGCTTAGACACATTTCCTCTACTATGTCCTAAAACATATTTTGTTACTTAATTTCTTATTCCCTTAACTAGACTCTGAGCTGGTTATGGGGGTATTTCTGGACACTTACCCAGCAGAGATAGCACTGCCTTAGGAATAGTGGCTCATCTATTGTACTATTGTGTTATAGGTAATGGTGTCCCAGGGGGTTCTCCCAGATGATAAAAAAAAACAAAACAAAACAGACTTTCTTGTTTCTCATAGAATCTTGCTTACACTTTGTCTCTAAAAAGGATGAAAGTGTTTATTGGTTGAATGTTTTTTTTTAATGTTTATTTTTGAGAGAGAGAATGAGAGTGTATGCATGCATGGGGGGGTTGTGCAGAGAGAGAGAGGGAGACAGATGATCTGAAGTGGGCTCCTTGCTGTTAGCACAGAGCCCTCTGCAGGGCTCGAACTCATGAATAGCAAGATCATGACCTCAAATGAAGTCAGACACTAAACTGTCTGAGCCATCCAGGTGTCCATGGTTGAATGTTGATTTGGATTTTTCCTTAACAGTATTGACAAGCTACATTAAATTAAAAAAAAATTTTTTTAATGTTTATTTATTTTTGAGAGAGACAGAGACAGAATGTGAGTGGGTTAGGGGAAGAGAGAGAGGGAGACACAGAATCAGAAGCAGACTCCAGGCTCTGAACTGTCAGCACAGAGCCCGACGCAGGGCTCAAACTCACAAGCCGTGAGATCATAACCTGAGCCGAAGTCAGACACTCAGCCGACTGAGCCACCCAGGTGCCCCAGCTACGTTAAATTTTTAATGTATGGTTCCATGAACACAATTAGCTGTTGTAGTTTAGCTGTATTGGTTTTTCCATGTGAAACTTTTATTCTGTCTTCTATTCAGGCAGTGCAGTGGCATCTGTAGCTGTAGATCCCAGTGGACGTCTCTTGGCCACAGGACAAGAAGATTCTAGCTGCATGTTGTATGACATAAGAGGAGGAAGAATGGTACAAAGTTATCATCCTCATTCCAGCGATGTTCGCTCTGTTCGATTCTCTCCTGGAGCTCACTACTTGCTAACAGGATCCTATGATATGAAAATAAAGGTGACAGACCTTCAAGGTGAGAGAGATTGACTTTTTCCTTTTTTGTGGTCTCTCCTATTTGGGATTTTTTTTAATCCACATATTTTTTTTTAATTTTTCTTTTTAAATTCCAGTATAATTAGCATATGGTGTTATATTACTTTTGGGTATAAAATATAGCCATTCAACAATTCCATATATCACCCGGTGCTCATTGAGATAATTATACTTGTAATCCCTTTCCCCTTCCTTTATTTCATCCATCCCCCATGCACCTCCCTTCTGGTAACTATCAGTTCTCTTTAGTTAAGACTCTGGTTTTTTTGTTCCTTGTTTTCTTTGTTTTGTTTCTTAAATTCCACATATGAGTGAAATCATATGGTGTATGTCTTTCCCTGAATGATTTATTTCACTTAGTATTATACCCTCCATCCATGTTGTTGGCAAATGCCAAGACTTCATTGTTTTTTATGGCTGAGTAATATTCCTGTGTGTGTGTGTGTGTGTGTGTGTGTGTGTGTGTGTGTGTGTGTGTTCCATATCTGTTCATCTATTGTGGATATTTGGGTTGCTTCCATATCTTGGCTATTGTAAATAATGCTACAATAAATACAAGGGTGCATATATCTTTTGAATTAGGGTTTTTGTGTTCTTTGGGTAGATACCCAGTAATGGAATTACTGGATCATATGATAACTCTAGTTTTAATTTTTTGAGGAACCTTTGTACTGTTTTCCATTGTGGCTATACTAGTTTACATTCCCACCTTTTGGGTGCACAAGAATTCCTTTTTTCTCCACATCCTCACTAAAACCTGTGTTGTGTTGTTGATTTAGCCATTCTGACAGGTGTGAGTTGATAACTCATTTGTAATTTTGACTTGTATTTCCCTGATGATGAGTGATGTTGAGCATCTTTTCATGTGTCTGTTGGCCATCTGTCTGTCTTTGGAGAAATGTCTGTTCATGTCTTCTGCCCATTTTTAATTATAGATTATTTGGGGTTTTTTTTTATGTGTGTGTGTGTGTTTGTGTAAGTTCTTTATTATGTTTTAGTTACTAAGCCTTTATCAGATATGTCATTTGCAAGTATCTTCTCCCACTCCATAGGTTCTCTTTCTGTTTTGTTGATTGTTTCCTTTGCTGTGCAGAAGCTTGTTACTTTGCTGTAGCCCCAGGAGTTCATTTTTGCTTTCATTTCCTTTGCCTCAGGAGACATACCTAGAAAAATGTTGCTACTGTTGATGTCAGAGAAATTACTGCCTGTGCTCTCTTCCAGGATTTTTATGGCTATTTGGGATGTTGTTGTTAATCTGCTGTAATGGACTATATAATATTTTCAAATTTTAGTTTTATAGTATTCAGTGGTCAAATTACTGGTACTGTATTGATGTAACTTATAGAAAATTATTAAACAGATCAAGTGAATAGTCTTATTAAGTAGTTCTTAAAATATTGAAAAGAATCAGCACTTATTACAATGAATCATTTTGAGTTCAATGATGGTAGGTGTTAAAATACACATTTATGTACTCCACTTTGCTTCTACTTTAAAGTTTATTTATTTTGAGAGAGAAAGAGAGCTCAAGCATGGGAGGGGCATAGAGAGAGAGAATCCCAAGCAAGCTCTGCACTGTCAGTGCAAGCCCAACACAGGGCTTGAACGCACGAACCATGAGATCATGACCTGAATCGATACCAAGAGTCGGCTGCTTAACCGAGTGAGCCACCCAGGCACCCCTGCTTCTGCTTTAAAAAATGTATAATATGTGTAATTATATCTTCAGCATCTAGTTTTATTTTTAATCACTTAGTAAGCAATCATTTATTTTGTATCAACTAGAGACAGAAGAGAGATGAATAAGACAGGGAACTTCCTCCTTGATGGAGCTTACATTTTAAATATATTTTTTTAATATTTATTTATTTTTGAGAGAGACAGAGTGGGAGCAGAGGAGGGGCAATAGAGAGGGAGACACAGAATCTGAAGCGGGCTCCAGGCTCTGAGCTGTCAGCACAGAGCCCAACGTGGGGCTTGACCCACGAACCATGAGATCATGACCTGAGGCAAAGTCAGACACTTAACCGACTGAGCCACCCAGGCACCCCTGGAGCTTACATTTTAGAGGTCAATAAAAAGTAAACCAGATAATGAGGTAATTTCAAGTATTGGTAAGTGCAGTTAAAAAATTAGCAAGGTGGGAGAGAATGGGTGGATAGGGAAGGCTATTTTAGGTAGGCTTAGGTAGATCTCTCTAGGGAAATGCCATTTGTGCAGAGACTTGTGTGATGAGAAGGCACAGCCAGGGCAGGACCCCAGGAGGAGATCGTAGCTTCTAGAGAGGTGCTGAGGCAGGAGTGAATTCAACACGTTCACGAGGCTACAAGAAACCAGTGTGGCTGGGACTTAGAGAACTAAGGGAGTGAGGGACAGAAGAATAAATCTGAGGCAGGGTTTTATAGGCATGTTTAAAAAGCATAATGGGAATCCTTTGGAATATTTAAAATAGGGAGTGATCTGATTTGATATCTATTGATATTGTTCAAAAGGTAATTTTGAGTTCTGTAGGGAGAATGGATTATAAGTATAAATATCAGGAGATTATCAGAACAGTTCAGTTGAGGGATTGATAGTAGCTTGGGCTAGGGTGGTAGAGGTGGAGGGTGGTGCAAAGTGACTGAATTTGGGATATATTTTAATTTGGATTAAATTTGAGGAGTTAGGGGAATGCTAATTCCTAGGTTTTCGGCATGAGCAACTAGGTGGTGCTGTTAATTGAGATAAGGAAGATAGGTAGGAGGAACAGGTTTGGGCAAGAAAATCAAGTGTTCAGTTTGAACAAATGAAGATGACTATGAGACAGTCAAGTGAGATGTCGAATAGCTATTTGCATTCTAGTCTGGAGCTCAGGTGAGAAGTCAAGGTTGGAGGCGAAATGTGTGAGTCATAAGTATACAAATGGCCATGGTATCATGGTACTAGATGAAATTTCGTAGGAAGTGGATATAAAGTAAACAGGAAATTTGAAGGCTGATTCCTGGGAAAGGAACAACAGCAAACCAGCAAAGGAAACCAAGATGTAGTGGCACCAAAGTCAGAGAGAAGTTGAGAGATAGTTTCAAGGAGAGAGTGGCAGCTGTGTCCAATGTTGCTGTGTATATTTTACCCAATCCTACTAACAGATATTCAATAATATATCCCCGTTTAAACCTTTAAATGTATTAAATTGATGTAGTTTAGGACTTTGTATACTATAATGTCTTCAAGTAACAGGAAGTGTGTGAAATCTATACATATACTTATTTTGTATTGTAAATCAGTATCTCTCTTTTTAATTTAGGAGATCTCACTAAGCAGCTTCCTATCATGGTGGTAGGGGAGCACAAGGACAAAGTGATTCAGTGCAGATGGCACACCCAGGATCTGTCCTTCCTGTCGTCCTCTGCAGACAGAACTGTAACCCTCTGGACTTACAACGGATAGAGTAACCCAGTGTCAATCTATGCAGTGAAAGCACAGAGACTTAAGACTACTGAGTTGTGAAAATAACAAATCTGAAGAACATAGACTGACTGGGAAAGCGGCTTAGCACGAGGAGGCCCCTTATTACCATGTATCCCTTTGATAGGAACTGTTGGGTGGTGTTATTCTGCAGTGCTTTCAGTCTTCCACGTGAGCTCGTGCTGCTGTGATCTGCTATATGTAGTCTTGTTGCCAAAGTCTGCGGAAGAGCTCTTATGTTGTCAGTGTGCACTCCGAGGTGGACGATGTGTTTACGGTTTAGTATTAAATGCATTCCTTGGTCTTTGCCTAAATAACAGTTTTATATACACATTGAAATTGAGCTATACTTTAAGCATATTATTACATGTAACGCAACCAAGCTCTACACGAATTAAACATAGGTGTTCAGAAATTACTTTTCTCACAAGCCCATGATACTGTATCACTTGTCAGCTAGAGGTCAGAATTTTTTATGTCTCTCAAAAGTTACATGGTTATTTTCACTAAGGATCATTATGGAGTTGAAAGATGGATGGAAAACTGCTTCTTAGTTCATTGTGTGGGATTGGCCTTTTCTTTCTTAAACCCAGGGATATAATTACTATTTTGTCACATTATTTCGTTTCAGGCTTAAAAGGTAAATATGTTTGCTTCAGAAACTTGTTAATTTCAGTTTTTTGAATGCAACAGGATACCTCCCTTCTAAACTGTACTGTAGAAGCAGAGCAGCAGTGCTATGTGATGCAACACTTGATGGTACAGTAAACTGACTGGCTAGCATTTTTCCTCTTAAAAATAAAAAATTTGCCATAGACTATAGCATGGTTTGAAATGCTATGTCTGCATGATAATTTAAAATGGAAAATTTTAAACTTTGCACTCCAAAAGCTTATTTGGATTTGTTTCTTGCACTGTTTTGTGTAATGCAGAATAATGATTTTATTTCTATGGCATTGTAGATCCTAACATTTATGTATCTTTATTTTCATATTGTACAGTAATTTTACTTTAAATTATTAAATAGGCTATTTTATTTATTTCAAATGCAGTTGAGTTGGTTCTAATTATTGAACTGTCTGTGCACTGTATGTAGCAAGCATTTTTAATCTATTGTATACAAGTGGAAAGGATATTATTAGAAGTGTAACTGTGCTATTATTTCAATAAAGACCTCTTGACATCTAAAAGAATTCCTCTTCCTCAGTGTCTGTGACTTTCAATTTAGAGTGTTATTTTTTCCAGTTTACTTGGAAGTGTTGTGGCCAGTGGGTGAACCCCACAATCAATTTCTTAAATTTCTTCCTATAGTTCTACTAACTTACTTTTTAGTTTATTTTTATTTTTTAACTTGAGAGAGAAAGAGAACATGAGCAGGGGAGAGGAGAAGGGAGGGGGAGAGAGAGAGAGAAAAAAAAGAGAGAATTGTAAGCAGGCTCCACGCTCGGTGTGGGAGCCTGATGTGGGGCTCGATCCCACAGCCATGAGATCATCACCTGGGCCAAAATCAGGAGATGGACGCTTAATCCGCTGAGCCTCCCAGGTGCCCCTACTAACTTACTTTTTAACGCCTGGCAACTGCCTAACTTTTGTGTGTCTCCTATTTCTTTTATTCACAGTCTAGGGAACTGTCCATCCTGGATATATTGTGAAAGTTGATTAATAAAAGCCCAGGAAAATACATAAATTGCAAGTTAGACTACAAATATGTTGAACTGAGTGCTTTGGAAAGAAATGAAATCTAATTAGTTGTGTATATTCAGCGGGTACACTGTTTTCCTACCTTTGCAGAAGGGAATTCTGTTAAAATTTGCCACATCTCCTCTTCAGTTTACTTCCATGCTTAATTTTACACATTCTACACATTACAGCAGGTCATTAGTGTTAAGTTTAAAACTAGGAAAAAAGGCATTTTCCTGATACAGACCAGTTCAACTTCATGGTAAAAAAGTGTTCATAAAATTACTCCATCACTATCAAGGAGAGAACTTTAAGATCCTCCTATATATGGGATATAGAATTCATTTTGCAGTGCCTTAGATAATAAGCACTAGAAATTACTTTAATAAACATCTTATTATATATTTCCTTTTTCCCATGCCTCCACACTGTCTTCTCCATGGCATGGAGGCGAATAGATTCTTAGAGGTTCATGTAAACAAGAAAATAAGAGAATTGAGGTATCTACATTCTCTGAACCCTTCTCAGTGGGGTTGGGGAAGGACAGTGAGGAAGGGAGGGGGTGCAGAAATGTTTAACCCCTTCCTACAGAAGTATCAGAAGTCTGATTCAAATCTTATTTTTTTTAAAAATATTTTGAAAGGGAGAGAGAGTGAGCAGGGGAGGGGCAGAGAGAGAGTGAGAGAGAATCCCAAGCAGGCGCTGCACTGACTGTGCAGGACTGGATCTCAAGAACTGTGAGATCATGACCTGAGCTGAAATCAAGAATTGGACCCTTAACTGACTGAGCCACTCAGGTACCAAAGGACAGAATCAGCAGGGAGAAAATGCAACCTACAAAATGGGAGAAAAGATCTGCAAATCATATATCTGATAAAGGATGAATATCCAGAATATATAAGAACTATAGCTTAAAAACAACCAAAAAAAACCAACCAGATTAAAAAATGGGCAAAGGGGGGCATCTGAGTGGCTCAGTCAGTTAAGCATCCGACTTCGACTCAGGTCATAATCTCACATTGTGTGCGTTCGGGCCCCACATCAGGCTCTGTGCTGACAGCTCAGAGCCTGGAGCCCGCTGCAGATTCTGTTCTCCCTCTCTCTCTGCCCCTCCCCTGCTCGCACTCTGTCTCTCTCTCAAAAATAAACATTAAAAAGCATAAATTTAAAAAATGGGCAAAGTATTTGACTAGGCATTTCTCCAAAGAATGTAGACAAATGATCAATAAGCACATGAAAACATGCTTAACACTACTATTCATTAGGGAAGTGAAAATGAACACCACAAAGAGATACCACCTCACACCCATTAGGATAGCCATTATCAAAAACACGAGATTATATGTGTTGGCAAGGATGTGGAGAAATTGGAACTCTTGCATAAAATAGTGTAGCCCCTATAGCAAGGGAAAGGCCACTACCCTGACTCTATCTAATTCCCAGGCTCTTAGACTTAAATCATGCCCAAGTTGACACAATGAGGAAGAAAGCTAAAAGCCAAAGTTAAAAGATTATCCAAAAAAAAAAAAAAAAGTCTTTTACTTTCAGTTCAAGCTAATTATACTTCCCAGTCTGCCACCATCACCAGAAAGAGTGGTTATTGCTTCAATAGATAACACTCAGCAGAAGCTGGCTAAGATAATACTGGAACTTCAAATTTCCCAGTATCAAAGATACAGTAAAATAGAGTGTGGTCTATGTACAACTGGTATAGGAACTGCAATGGCCCAGAGTTTAGAAGTATTGAAAGACCGCATCTTTCCATTCTGTATCTGCCACTAAGAACTTTCTGGTCTAAAACAATGGTTTTGCATTTTGGAAAGTGAATTGTGCAAACTCCAGGAAGCACTGAAGGACCATCTTGGAAAATTTGACCTGTCCGAGCTCTGGTCAAATGTGTCACATAAGTGGTAAATTTACAAATGTGCCTGCCTGTGTCCTAACCATCCCTGGAGAATCCTGAGCTGCACTTCCTCCCATGTTGCCACAGCTGGCCAGCCATCTTCCTCCTCATCCGATTCTGTCTCCACTCCCTCCACCTCCTCCTCTGCCTGTACCTCCACCACCTATAGCACCTTTGCTGCTCAGAAATTCTTTTTTTTTTTAAGTTTATTTTTATTTATTTTGAGAGAGAGCAAGCAGGGGAGGGGCAGAAAGAGAGGGAGAGAATCCCAAGCAGGCTCTGCGCTGTCAGCACAGAGCCTGAATCAGAGCTCAAACCCATGAACAAGGAGATCATGACCTGAGTCAAAACCAAGAGTTGGACGCTCAACTGACTGAGCCACCCAGGTGCCCCTCAGAAATTCTGACTGTATTAAAACACTTCAGCCTGGACCATTAAAAAAAAGATGGATTCATGCAGCCAACAATTAAAGATCTACTTACTGAAATTAAAGAAGACATAGGTTTTTTTTTTAATTTTTTAATGTTTATTCATCAGAGAGAGAGAGAAAGAGAATGAGTGGGGTAGGGGCAGAGAGAAAGGGAGACACAGAATCCAAAGCAGGCTCCAGGCCCTGTGCTGTCAGCACAGAGCCCAATGCGGGGCTGGAACTCATGACCTGTGAGATCATGACCCGAGCAGAAGTCAGATGCTTAACCAACTGAGCCACTCAGGCACCCCAAGACGACACAGTTTTGATGGAGATGTTTGTACCAGCACCAAAGGCATGGAATCCACTAGTTACTGTCTCTGACCTGCAGGGTGTTATCCTGAAACCCAACTCCAAAGTGTAACCAACTCAACTGACAAATGTCTTACTTATTCCTGGTAAAAGCCAGATAAATCTGTGGAAACTACTTAGGAAAGTCGCTGTAGAGAGGAGCCCAGGTGGAACCTGACTTACCAATAAAAAAAATATGGAAACAGGAGCTAGGTTGACTCTAGTCATGACCTGGGACTGAAGGAGAAAGTGGAGTGGAGACAGTGGAGTCACCTTAGAAGCCCAACTCAAATTCTGCCACTTTCTATAAGCAGCTTTGTTGAACAAAACTGATGCCAACTCTGCCTGACTGCATGTGATGGTCCAAAAAAATACACAGATAAAATCAGCCCACCTTTTTTTAATGTAGTAGAGTATGTATAAATAACTATACTAGTCTATAATTCTATCTGAAGGATTAAAGTATGTTTGGAGCCCATACATACTGTGGTATAAAGTGGGTATTTGGATATTTTTTGTATGAACAATAAGAGAACAGATTCGAGAAAATGCAATCCCCAAAGTGATGTTTATCCTGCAATTACCCAAATTAGGTTGGAAACATTGTTCACATTTAACTAGATAACTAATTTGTACTTA